ATAATTTTAGGTTGTAAATTATTTTCCTTCAGAAGTTTGAAAGCCTTCCTGCATTGCTTTGGAGCTTCCAATGCTCCTGGTCAGAAGTTAAAATTTAATCTATGTCCAAGGATGATGAGACCACCACACAATATCTAAAATTAAAGGACAAAGATGAATTTACTACTTGTTGTAGTAAGGGAGAGCTATGTTATTTAGGCTCAGTCTCTCCAAGCAGAGCAGACTGCTGAACTTGGGGAAGCATGGAGTTCAGGGACTGGTGGACTTTCAGAGGCTTTATTGCCATCATCAGTAGAATCATAGTTCCTTTGGAGTAAGTCTGCCCCTGACTGGCTAGTGTTCAGAAGCGAATGACTGATACTAATTGGTTCATTGAGGGGAGTTGACTTTGATAGACATTTAAATAAGTTCAAAACCAACTTTTGATGGCTATTTATTATCATGACTACAAAACAATTGTCTTCATCTAAGTTTGGAGGAGCAATTTTTTACTCACTACTTGCTGATCCTTTGTATATGACCTGGATATTTTTTTCCTTTTTACAGTCTTGAAGGTTTTTCTCTTTGCCTTCATTGTTTGAAATTTCACAGTGTTGTTGCATTTGCCTGAGTCTGTTTTCACTGGGTAAATGTTTCAGTCTAGAAACTCAGATTATTAACTTTCTCCTCCTCTCCATTTTCCTTCCTTCCTTCCTTCCTTCCTTCCTTCCTTCCTTCCTTCCTTCCTTCCTTCCTTCCTTCCTTCCTTCTTTCCTTCCTTATTTTTTATTACTTTGCACTTTGCTTTTTTGCTTTTTTTGCTTTCCTTTTTGTGAGTGCAGTCAGTTTATTTGGGAGGTGATCCAAGAAAACACCAGTAGGGGAGTAGAGAATTGAGACAGGAATAAAGGAAGCCAATAGAAGTTCATTATCAAGCAAGTCCTGCCTGGGGAGTTCTGGGAGCAAGGGAAGAATATGCACTGCAGTTATCTCACGTGGGCTGTAAGGGAACTAGAATACTTCTGTCAGTAATTGACAGTTAGCATCTGCCAATCATCCATTGAAGACTGTTTCCACAAAGACAAGGAAAGTCAGCACTCAACACACGACAGGTAGATCAGGCCCTGGTGGCCACAGAAAACCCTCTACAAAGAGATTTATGTGCTGGCACTTGGGAGGATGGGCTGGTGTGCAATGAAATGGTAGTCATGGCCCAAGAGATTTATGTAGTGCACTACATTTTTCTATTTTTTAAAAAATGCTAATCTTCCTTGATCAGTTTCCTAATTATCTTAGTTTTTATCTCCTATTTTCCATCTCTTTTTCTTTTGGCTGGTAAAACTTCTCAACTTTATATTTCAACCTTTCTATTGAAAATTGCCATTTCTGCTATTGTTTTAATTTCCAACACCTTCTTTATGTTTTGGTTATGTTCCATTTATCTACTTGCTTGTTAATTTATATTGGGGTAGAATTCTGTTCTTGTTTCATGGTCACAGTAGCTTTTCTTTGTGAGATATTTGGTGTTTATTTTACCTGTATTTCTTCAACATTATTTGTTTCTCTTTATTTTCTATTTTCCAGATTCAAGGCTTTCCTCAGATATCTCAGTCTTTGTATCCTACGATGTTTAAGAATGAAACACTAGAACACTGCTAGAAGCCCTGAGCATATGAGAGATGTCGGTCTGATGTGAGCTTCTCTGTAGGAGCATCAGAATGGGCAGTTTAAAGGGGAAACTTCGAATTTCAGTATCTTTTCAATGTCATATCTTTCATCATAGACTAGCCATATTGCCAAGAAAAGACTCTTCCAGTGTCCTGCCAGGAGGGTGAAAGTCTAGCTTCCAGTGTTCTGGATGCAGGAAAACAGATGTGGCATGTTATGTCTCCAAAGCTAATATGCATACATTCATTTAATCCCCTATTGTTAGTACAGACCCCTGAGCCTCAGATGAACTGGTATTCCTCCATGCAGACCATCTATTTTATGTCATTCTGAAAATGAACCATCGCTCTTTGACAATTAAGAAAGGGCAATTTCTGGGATGCTGCATGGGTCTGGGGAGGAGTATAGGGACCCAGTTCCTTCTAAACAGACTTACCAACAATACTTCTTATTGAATGCACACCCCTTTTATACTCACTTCCTCTAAGTGCCTGCTGCCATTAGTTTCTAAGGCTTTGGATATTCTGGAAATCGGATTAGTTCTTAATTTTCTCCACTACTTGATTAGATTCCATTTCTCAGCTCTGTTTATTCTATCACCATATATTTGATCTCTTCTCCCACTCTCTCCATTCATTGAGTTTCAGCCTTAAACTATTCCTTCACAGGTTGTGTTAGTGGGGTTCCAAGAATATGAAAAGGTAGAAATGCCTGTTAAATCTATCTTTAAACATAACTTGTTTTTCATTTTTTATTTATATGAAGTGTGTTAATGGCTTCATAATTAAATCTAGCTTATAATTTATTTGTGATAGATCTAAAACTGATTTATGAAAGATGGCTCCAGTTACAATATCTTAAAGTGATGTTTTCTATCCCGGCTGGTGTGCCTTAGTTGGTTGGAGCATCATCCCATACACTGAAAGGTCACGGGTTCAACTTCAGATCAGGGCACATAACCAGATTGCAGGTTCAATACCCAGTCGGGAGATATACAGAAGGCAACCAGTCAATGTCTCTCTCTCTCTCTCTCTCTCTCTCTCTCTCTCTCTCTCTCTCCCTCTCTCAAATAAATGAGAACATGTCCTTAGGTGAGGATCTTAAAAAAAGTACTATTTTTCTCCTTAACAATAGAGAACAGAAAAAGTAGTTTGGCATTAACTTAGTTAAAGGGGGAAACATAATTGTAAGTCAAGACTAATATTCCTGGGAATATTTTTCTATGCATTTGTATGCCAACAGATTGCATAACAACCTTAATAAGAAAATTCCCAAGCCTGTGCAAACTTGTAGGGAAGGTGTAGTCATGCATAATCTCACGCTAAACTCTGCCAAGACAGTGCATACTATGGAATTCATAATTTCAGTCTTCATTCCACACAGTAGCTCAAAGCTGGAAACATATGTGCTCATGAATCTTCATCAAGTTAATCACTTTTCCCTGTTGTACCAAAAGCTTAATACAGACTTCTTAACAACCTGTCACTAGAGTAATCTTCTTGCTGATGATATGATAAATCACACACAAGGTAGTTAATGTTGTTCTTTAAGTTAATGTTGATCTGTTAATTGCAGTCATTTTTTCCAGAGCTCTGCTCTTCTGTTGCCTTGTGGAGATGACGAGCTGTCTTACTCAGAACCAAGCCAGACAACAACACTTAACACTGCAAAGCAAACACCAACAGGAAAGTACATGTAGGCAGTGATTCCATCTCCCCCTGAAATGGCTCCTTCTTCTCTGCCTGAAACCATGATCCTCTCTCCCCACCTTAAGAAAATCTTCCCTTGATTCTGCCAACTCCTGAAAGTTGCCTTTGACCTTCCAGTAGCTTTTCTTACTTCTATCCTCTTTCATACCTTAACAGTATGTGCTGAGATGACTTAGACCCTCTTTATTGAAAGATAACTTACAAATCAACTCAAATATAATGAGCCTCAGGAGGAAATCTTGACTCAAACTTCTCTCCATTAACTATATCCTAGTTGGTAATAAGAAAAAAATATCAAACAGTTATTTAGATATTGTGCTATTACTTTACGTATATTAATTCTTTTCACCATCACAATAATCCTATGAAATACAATCTATTAAACCCATTTTTATAAATAAGAAAACTAAGCCCAGAGTGTTTGTTTAGTTTGCACAAGGTAAAATGCTGATCAGTGGCAATCATATATTTGAGCAGTACCGCCATTCATCCAGTTACCCAAGCCAGAATCAACATTAATTTCTCTCTTTCCCTTTCTTTCTATATTCTCACTATCTTAGGCCAGGCTACCATCATCTCTCACAGCACTAGCCTTCCCACTATTTTCATTCATGGTCCTTAGAGACTATTTTCCATGTAGCTGACATGTAGATTTGATAAATCCACAATTATAATCAAAGCTTTTTAACAAACTTCTTTCAAAAACTAACTTCATGTCACCAAAATTGTTGTATAGATAAAAAGATATCTTTACTGCGTGGATAACACAATTAAACCAAATCTGATGGATGTATATGGAACACTGAATACACATACCAAAGATAGAGAATATGCATGTTTTTCAACATGTGCAACATTTACATAACTTGACTATGTCTTAGCTCACAAAGTTGAGACTCAACCAATACCAAATAGTCATATTATATAGACAACAGTCTTTGACGATAATATAATAAAATCACAAATCAGTAATTAAAAGATACTCAACTCCTCTGCATGGTTTTCCCCTTATTCTTTCCCCCTATAAAAGGAACTACAATTCCCAGGCTCCCTTGAGCTTTGGCATCCAGGAAGTCTTCAACAATGGGAGACACTGACAGCACTGACCTGAGATTGGGAGGAAGAAGGGAAAGGCAAGCTGTTTCCTCCTTCCTACAGAAGTGCCCACTTTATTTATTTATTTTTTAAAAAATATATTTTATTGATTTTTTACAGAGAGGAAGGGAGAGGGATAGAGAGTTAGAAACATCGATGAGAGAGAAACATCGATCAGCTGCCTCCTGCACACTCCCTACTGGGTATGTGCCCACAACCAAGGTACATGCCCTTGACCGGAATCAAACCTGGGACCTTTCAGTCTGCAGGCCGACGCTCTATCCACTGAGCCAAACCAGTTAGGGCAGAAGTGCCCACTTTAGCTCTAGCTCATTTCATATGACTCCAGATTAAAGCTTGAGTAAAGCCACCTCCTTCTATTGTCCCTTCAGACCTACAAGTGGTAATGGGTTCCTGCTGTTGCTAATCTCTGGATTGCCTCAGTGTCCCCAGTTGGTTTCTCAATACATGGTCACCATGGAATCAATTCTCTGTATTAAAGTCCCCTCCAGTCAAATCTGTATATATTTATCCATTTTCATTGTTATGTAAAATTTCTCAGGGCAAGAGCCTTAAGAAAGAGGCTGACAACTCCAGCATTACTATATAAGTTTATTAAGGGAATTTACATACGAGGCTCATCGTGGGCAGCAGCAAGATGATATGGATATCCTCAGAGCTACACAGCAGGTGCTAAGCGGTTGTACAGGACAAAACAGGATGGACAGGAATACTAGCATGTGACCCGCCCCAGGTAAGGGGGAAATGCCTTACATACTTACGCAGGGGCTGGGCAAGGGCCTGTTCCAGGAGCCAGTTTGCTTGGGGCACAGGACGGAGGTCAGACAGTCTCTGAGAGGTTTATGGGAAGCAACCTCTGCTCTGGCTCAGATCTAGCTGATCTAGTGGGAAGGTCCGCGGCAGTGAGGCAGGTCAGGCAGCAGTCACATCATGGAGTGGGGTGTCTTCCCGTGGTCTCTCTGTCATGACCGATATAATTCTGCAGAATTAGAATTGACATCCAAATAATTTATGGGTTAATATTTGGAGAAGAGCAACAACAAAAACTGCATATCCAAGTTTTGGGATGTAAGTAAAGTATTACTTACAGGGAAATTTATATCTCAAAAAGCAAGATCTCAGGTTGACCCTCCTCCAAGTTTAAATGACTTGTTTGTACTATATTCACTGGTCAAGTTGTTTTAACTCTTCTCCTTTTTTTTTTCCTCACCAATTATGTATCATTCCCCGATTTTTGAAGTACCTGTAACCCCACTTGTACTAGCCTATCAGCCTTGGAAGCAATGCTTTCACCCTCATGCCTGCCTCGGTCAGTAACTTCCTGCTGGTTGGTATTCTCTAAAATGCATACCTCTTGCCCTGGCTTCTCTCCTAAACTCCATTCCCATGTTTACAATTGTGTACTGGCCCTCATTTACATTTTCATGACCCCAAACATAACCTGGCTAACACGAAACTCATCATCCTGCTCCTCACCCTCTAGAACCTGCTGCCATGGATCCTCTGCCTGACCTGTCACTTTCCCAAATACCTATCTTGAAAATTCAGATGCCTTCAGGCCATTCAGATGCATCACTCATAGGAATGGCTTTTGTTCCAAGCAAAGAGCCTGACACATACTAAGATGTTTGAATCACCAAAAGCCTCCACCCTCTTTCTAATTCCACATCCTTCTATTTTTTTATAGCTCTGTCATGCCCTCTCTTCCTTCTGTTTCTGTTGTGACTAGTCCTCCTGACCACTCACCTGGAGAGGCACAGGACCGGCTGAAACTCAGAGTTAAATTATAACTAATCTCATAATATAGTGTTTAACAAAAGTCATGTTAAAAAGCAAAATGCTTCTCCCTGGCCAGTGTGGTTCAGTCGGTTGAGTGTCATCCCACACACTGAGAGGTCCTATTCCCAGTTGGGACACATCCCCAGGTTGCTGACTCAATCCCTGGTGGGCCAGTGGGGTGTATGAGCTGGGGGTTGGGGTGGTGCTGGGGAGCGAGGGATGGGGGTGGGATCTCAATTCCCAGTGGGGGCTGTGTGGGAGGCAGCTGATTGATGTTTCTCTTTCATCGATGTTTCTCTCCTTCTGCCTTCCTCTCTCTAGAATAATAATAAAAAAACATTTTTTAAAGCCCAGCAGTCTTAAAAAAAAAAAAAGGCAAAATGCTTCCTAGTCAGCAAGAAGAATGAGACCTGATTGCAAGGTTCCTAAAGCTGTTAACATAATTGAGAAAGAATGTGGTGAGCAGATGGGGAGTTGGTATGCAGAAAACAGGGCGAAGGCTAACAATGCCAGCAGAGTCCAGCAGGGCCCTGGTCAGATGCCTCCCTGTCCCAGGGGTTCAGCTTCCTCGGGTGATGTATGTAGCCCAGTTGTTGCAATCTTTTTTGTTGGCTTTAACTTCTATAAAACCAAACCTAACCAACCTTGAAATTTCTGGCTACCCCACAACTATTCCTTCGAGTATCCAGGCTCAGAATGTAAAAATTATCACAGACTCTTGGTCCCTTCTGTTCCTTGTATCTACTTGACTGATCCTTTTTGATTCTTACTTTTCCCTTTTTCCTTTCTTTTTTATTCCCGCCTCTTCCCTTCCAACCGTAATTTATGAAGTGCTCATTAAAGCGCACCCAGATTAGTTCTCCAGTTCCATCTCTTTGCTTCTTTTCACCCGTTCCGAGAGTCCTGCCCCGGTGCTAGATTCCTCATCTTTGTGCTTCCTTTCCCGGGTAATGACAGGAGACCCAGGAGCACACAGAGATTCCCCGCAGCCTGTCCATCCTGGCATTTAAAATAGACCCCACCTTCCTGAGGGAACCTGCACTTCCCCCGTCACCAACATGCTGTGGGTTTCAGCCAGGTGGAGTTCTCTACCCTTCCCTGAACAGATTATGCTCATATTTGCCCCCCAGACTTTGCAGGGTTCCCAGACCAGAGCCACACTTCAAAGTCCCCTTTCTCCTTAAAACCTTTACTGATATTCCTGACCGACTCCGATCCTTCCTTCTCTGGCATCCTTCAGGCCCAAGGACATTTAGATGGGGCGAATTTGCCATGAACTAGAGCTTACATTTGAGGGCCCCTTACTTGGACAGCCCTCTCCAAGATTATGTACCCAATTTTTATTTATAATTTTGTATTTTTTTCTTAAAGGAGATCTTTTAAGTTGTAAAAGCCTCAGATCTTACATAATCTGGATCTGTCCCTGAGTTTAAGCAGTTGATTATATTCTTTCCATGAAGTGTTTTCTAATTGGTTAATGTACAACCAACTCGTTTCTCAACTTAGAACTTCTTGCTATAAAATGTATAGTGTGTAGTGTGGTAATGAAAATGGTCTTTGGTGAGGTCCTACAGACTCCAAACATAACTTCTGCCACTTCCAAGCTGTGTGACAAGTTTTATTTCTTAATTTTATTGAGTCTTAGTTTCTTCATCTGATAAGTGGGGATGAATATGGTGAAGGCTGCATTATGACTTTCAGAGCCTCAAGGCACTTTTGCCTTATGGGCCCCTTACTCTATAAAAAATATTATGAATTATAGTTATGACTGTGTGAGCACAAAGACTAATATCCAGGGAAGGTTATATTTATTTATTTTTCCTTTTAATTCTGAAAGAAACTAAGACATTTTCCTGGACTTAACAAAAGTATTGTGGAACCCAGGCATTGTGGCTAATGAGCCTAGTGGATAGTTAAGTCAGCCATGATTACAATCTCCACACAATAGAAGTTGATAAATGATATGTAAGAGGATGAATGTGAAGCATTTACCTTGACATATATCAGGTGCTCAATACATATTAGCCATTATATTTGTGTGACATGCCTCTTTTGTATCCTTCACAATGAGTAATGATTATAAATGCTTACTAAAATAATTTGAATAGGGCATATTTGTAGTGTTGAAAGACAAACTGAGACATATTAAAATTTTTAAGAGTTCATTTGACCAAAAATCTATTGGAATCAGGCAGCACTAACCTGGGAGAGGTTAGGAGTGCTCCACGGACAGCAACCAGTGGAAAGACTTATGGAGAAGAGGCAAAAGCAAAGCAAGGGGATATTTTGATTGGCTACAGGCTAAGTGCTGTATATGGGAAAGCCTACTTGGTAGTTTGTGATTAGTTGTCCTTAGGTTTTGATTTCTTAACCCTGAGGCATTTCAGACCCCCTTAATAAAGTATTTCTGGAGTCACCAGCAGAAGTGATATAACCCATCCTGTCGCTTTCACAAAACCTCTAAAATAGATATTCACACAAAACTTGGATAGCATACTTAAGGCCTGAGTGCCTGACCAGGCATTAAACCATGACCTTCTGGCTCATAGATCGATGTTCAACCACTGGGCCACGCCTGCCAGGCACAAGGATAACATTTTAATTGGGTCATTCTATGACCTGAAGAAGTGAGTTCTTGTTTTCCAGTTCCATTACCATGGATAGTTTGCTGTCTTGACCTTGAGTAGATGAAACATGCCTGAGATGCTGGTCACCATTATAACCTCACCAGGATACTGGACAGTCAGCACTATACAGGGTATCTAATACTAGGTTACCTGAAGCTACAAGTATTTTGTTAGAACATTAACTGCAACTTCCTCCTACAGCAGACCTTCAACTAGATTAGCTAGTGCACAGCAGGACTGCTTTTGTTCCTCCTCCTTGGTTACATGCCTTATTATTTCTGTTTTTATAGTTAACACTTGGCCAAATAGAGAGTTCACAAAAGGCACTTGCAGGGGGTCAGTTGTCAAACATCTTGGTGTTCCAATTAATTAATTAATTTTGTGTTCTTTATGCTGTGAATAAAAAAGGCTCTTTGAATCAGAGAGATGGATGGCACTTAATATGTTTTTGCTTCACCTGCTTGTCAACAATAATCTGGTTGATAAGTGTCTTAAGAGCCATTTTACTTAATAAAATATATATAGTTACGTAATTTTCTATTTGCATATAGGAGACAACACTGAATACTCATTATGAATAAAGGCTTTGAATTCAGAAAGGTTGTATTCAAATCTTGGTTCTAATAGAAAAGGTCTGGAATTAAATACCATTATTAGAGGTTACCTCTGGTGTTGGGCACGGGAGAGAGACTGGGCACTCTACTTTTCCTTTACCCCCCTCTGGATTAGGTTGATTTATTGCCATGGGCATGTATGACTTTTGTGACTTGAAAAGAAGGGAAGAGAGAGAACTAATTTTGTGACCTTACAGAAACCATTCTGCCTCTGTATGTAATCATCCATAATATGGGGAATTATTATCAGGAACATGAGGTAATGCATATAAAGCATTTAGTATTTTTCCTGCCACATATTTGACATCCAGCAAATGCTGACTATTATCACCAGGAAAGTGATATCTGGCATCAAGTAAGTGTCAAAAAAAATGCTTAAGTAGTAAAAAAAAAAAAATTAAAAAGTGATAGGTATTCTTATTAACTACATTTTTAAATTTTATTTTGCTTGTTCTTTTTTATGCTTGGCAATTTTTCCTTGTTTTTTGCTTTGAGTTATTTGACATTGATTCTTTGTTTTAGAGAAAAGATAGACCCAAATTGAAAGACATTCTTCAAAATAACTATCCCAGACTCTTCAAAAGTGTTAATGTCATAGAAACAAACAAACAAACAAAGATTGAGAAACTATTAATGCTAATTTCCTGATATGGATATTGAATACTCATTAATGTCTGAAATTATGTTCAAATAATTAATTACTAAAAATAGGCAGATAATGGAGAAACGCTGAATCATCACTAACAGAATGAAAATTGATACAGATTCCCTGAAGGACAATTGGGCAATATCTTTCAAAAACAGAAATGCACATACCCTTTGATCCAGAAGTTCCACTTCTAAGTAATTACCCCACAAAAATGGTTCCATATATGTGAAAAGGTTCAAATAAAATGGTATATTCATTACAAGACTTCATTGTAAGAGCAAAGTTTGGAAACAACATACATGACCATCAGTAATAGGATGCTTAAATAAAATATGATACCCTTATAAAATAGAGTAAAGTAAATATAATAGACTGCTCTAAATGTACTTTACTGGAAAGAATCCCAAGAGAAGGGACATTAGGAGAATAAATAACACTGGGCTAAAAAGCATCAAAATAAGGGGGTTCTGGCAAGAGCATAGCCCCAAAGTAGAGTTCATAATTTAGCATTTAAATTTTGCTTCTCTGCCAAGACTCAACAAGGTTTTGCTTGTGATTTTATTTTCAACATGATAACCCTAACCCTCACCATGATTCTTTCAGAGAGAGTCAGCGAGTAACTTCAGCCTCATCTTTACGAGGAACACACTAGCTACCTACAGTAATTGCCCTCCCTAGTGAATCAGCCAGTCAATTAGACACTGATGGATGGTCACGGCACAATCTTTTATAGTTCATTGCCACAACACACCCTAGGT